TCTACTTCTGTAACCATTTGTCAATGATGATGCTTTAGCATGTTTATGCTGATAATTATATGTTTTATTCTTTTTTGACCGCACAATTTAATGTCGTTGGGTTTGTTTCTAGATCACACCCCGCACTGGCCAGATCATCCTAACCATAACAATATGGGAGATGTTGATGCGGCTCGTGTGGCCTCTTGTGACAGCTTTAGGCTGGACATGGGTATGTATTCATTTCAAAGTGTGTAGAAGTTTAGCATTAAGACGATTATTCCTCATGCCTTTCCGTCGTTAGCAATCCATGTAGCAAAGCGGCATGGAGGTGCTTCCATTCTATGGGTAATTTCATATTTGTTCGATCCCACTGTAAACTTGCTGGTGGAGCTTTCGTCTTTCCCGCAGGTCAAAGTGGCCATTTCATCTTTTGATGTTAATTATACTAGGAGGATGTAGTGTGCATTCACAAGAAACCGTTCCACAAGTGCCATCATATTTTAGCAAGACATTAAACATTTGATCATGATTATTTGCAACTTTTCTCTTTACAAATTTATTTCGAACGTTGATACGCCTACGTACACTACTTACGAACAGATAGATCCTAAATCCTAGGTGGGCAATTTGTTTTTCAATGTAGCCACAAGTGTGGCGAATCAGAAGTGAAATTTGCTACACCATGCAAAAATTGATAAATTAAGTAGCTCAATCGAAAATTTAAAACAAATAATACACTGTCTCAGCAATTTTATTTAAAACATGTAAATTTTTACTACTGAGTTACAATTTCCTCAGAAGCAAATGATGAAACAAATTGTTCAAATTGAAAGTCAGGAAATTTAATGCGAAATTTGATAAGCATAAATGTTGGCTGAATATGTGAACTCAATGCACATCTCATCCCCGCCTTTAAATTGATATAAAAAATTCTACATTTGTATTTTGACTTGATGAACCCCATCGATGAGAACGTCGATTCGCATGTCCACGTTGATCCAAACAATGACAGTAATTTCGAAAAGCCGGATTTAAAAGTTTGGGAGATCCTTGTCAGTCAGAATAGATTCCCACATCTCCATGACTGAAGAACTCTGCCAAACTTTCAAGTGTTCCAGACTGTGTAAATCAAGCATATCACCTTCAAACCCACGTTTATCCAAAGACAAAGGATGGCAATTTCTTTGTTTGAATTTGCAGTATCAAAATGAAATGGATTACGCAAGAACTGAAATGCCAATGTGAAGTCGTTGAAATCAGAAAAGCTTGAATCAAATTTTTGAGACAAATTTTTCATCCAGTTTACATAGAGCTGCCGCCTCACGTCGAGTAGACTACACTCCTCATTTTCTTCTAGAAATCCAGTCAGGTTTAAAATTGGGTCAAATCGTCTATCTGAGTTTGTGCCATAAGAAGATTAAATTTTGATTTGAATTCTTGAATATGCTGCGTCTGCTCGAATCTTACTTTTCCCTTTCCCTGGAGCTTCACGTTCATTTCATTCAGGTGAGCCGTGATATCGCACAGAAAATGTAAGTCAGACTGCGATGAAGGGCTTTCAATGTCAGAAAAATTTTCGATCTGACGTTTCTGAACAAGAAAATCTCGAATGTTAGGAAGCCAAGAGGCAAATTGTTTCAGTACTTTTCCTCTGCTCAGGCATCTCACATTCACAAAGTCATTAAGATCAGAGTCATCGCATTTTTTCAAAGCCTCAACAAACTGTCGGAGGAGGAAACTTTCACTTTAGATGTAATTCTAGATTTTCACAACTATATCAAAAAAATTCTTTTAACGCGTCGGTTCTGGGCATTTATGCACACAAATTCTTTTGATGCACAACACAGTGGAAGGAGGGCAACATGGATTTCATGCAATTCTCATTCAAATGCAGTTTCAAAAGAGAAACAAATCCTGATTTACCTCCAATCATCGCGGGTGCACCATCCGTTGTAACAGAAGCTAGATTTTTTCAGATCTAGGTCACATTTTTTCGAAACTTCAAAACATTTTTTAGTACATCAGTTCCACACGTTCGACCACGCAAGGATCTCTTCATGAGTTTTGAGATCGGGGAGCACAAACCGAACCCAAAAGTTGAATTGCGCCATGTCAGTAAGATCGGTTGACTCGTCCAGCGCCAGGGAATTGATCAATTAGCTGCTCTTCTACTATTTTCGATAATTCCAGCACTCTGCGAACAACCGTCCTGCGGCTTAGCTGCAAATTCTGCACTTTTTGCAGGATATCATTCTTCACCTTCCAATCGTATTTCTCTAACAGTTTCCACCACCGTGATCACAATTTCCTTATCATCTCAACATCGGAAAATGGTTTCTTCTTCTGAACCAAAATCCAAGCGACCTTATAGCTAGCTAACGTCACGAGCTCGTTGGACGAAAGAAACTGCTTCAGACTATCCTTATGATCATGAAACTGTGATTTCAGACGGGAAATTTCAGTGACACGACTACGGCCATCAACTGGAAATTTATTGTCGAATTCGATGTGCATATTGGGAAAGTGGTTCTTCAAACTGTCTGCCCTATTATCACTGAAACCTTTCTTTCACAGAAGGCACGCTGTCCCTTCGCTTACTTGTATCACTACAAATTTCGGCTCCCAGATTTCTTTAAAATTTCACGTTACGTTCCCTTGACTTTTTCTTTTTAGCACTAACTTCCGAATCAATGAGTTCTTCTGCTTCTCATTCCTTATAATTATCATCTTCTGCTGGTTCACTTCGTCTTCGAATAACCTACTTATCCATCTCTACAGGCGAAAATGTAAATTTTTAACAATTATAAGTTTTGTGAGTAACTGAATCATGGAGAAATGTGAAAATCGCACACTCGAAACAGACACAAACACGCGCTTTAAAGAAATATTAAATTCTAGACACCGCCGTTTCTGCTGTTGCGTCTATACTCGAACTGATGGCAGGGAGGAAACGATGTGTTAGGAAAGGGAGTGGAGGTGAGTATTGTCTATCAGGATTGCGTCACAGAGCCATTCAGAAGGCGTAATATGAAATGTCAAGTTGCCACCAGCACACGCTGTCGGGAAAAAGTTTGTTACATTCTATTGTTGGAGCCAAATATGGCAAACTCAAATTGCCACACTTTCATGGCCTATTCGCCACTTCTGGCGGATGCCGACAGGGTTGGCCACCCCGGTCCCAAATGGTGTAAGCAGGTGTGACCTCGCAGTACGGTACATGGGAGGAAACCATTACAAGTAAACGTCTAGGTCAGCTGTCCCCAACCTTTTTGTGCCTACGGGCACATTTGAGAGTTTATGAGACCGTGGCGGGCACCAACCAATTAACAAAGCCAAATTTTCTTTTCTCTGGACAAATAAGATATGGACACCAAATAATACACAAAACAACACGACGTTTAATGATACAAGAAACCATGCAATCAAAAATACGTA